TACAATGGTTTACGAGTCCACGAATTATGAAAGAAAGATATTTTTGAGGAATGTTGTGGAATACCAGTTGTAGTAGCAGAACATGAGCTTCAAATGTATGAGCAAATACAAGGCGGGCAGTCGTTTTAGAGCGATTTCTTATTGAGTTCAGCAGTCGGAGCAGTCGGCGGTAGTTCTAAAAACGGATTCAAATGTAGTTACTGGAGGCAATTTTAGCATGCTGATGTCCATGTTAAAGGTTAAACAGAAGCCATAGACAAAATAAGAATTGTTATTTAGGAAGAACGCCTATTAGGTGTGTGGCGTTAAAAGTTTCACGAAACCTCAAGCAAAGAAAGAGTAGAAGCATTTCTTCTGATAGCCTAACATTCAGAAGTTTCAGCGTTAATTCGTCGGTCTTTAGAGTTTTGTGAGGATTGTTTACAAAAAAAAAGTTGTATGAGTTGCGAACAATACAATATTTACAAAGCAATTACGGCAAGGTGAGAGATATGCAACAGTAAAAATTTCGCTTCACAAAAAAATGTTATGCGATAAAAATTTGTTAAGGAAAGCGAAGGAAACGCAACTATAAAGCATTCCTTACTCAACAGATGGCTCACTTTTCTGTTGCTGCCGTTGAGCTTCAGCTTTTCTTCGTCGATAGCATTTCTTAACGATTCCATAGAAATAACCCGTATAAACCAATATAACGCCTCGGAGTAGCCCGGCAAGGAGAATCTGTAACATTTTTCATTTTTTTTCTAGGAAATCATATGTGTAGACAAAAGAAAAAACCTGAGCTAGAGATCTTAGCATATTACGCTCCGGTGCCGCACCAGCTGTGAGAATACCTTAAAAAGACTCAATTGTTGCCGATTAGTCCAAGAGCAATTTTTGAAACTCCACAGCACTTACTCAGCATCCAACCATCGAGTCCTATAGCTGTATAATAATTTCCGCTTTCAATATCTTTTACATGAGCTTCAGCGACCTGTTCTGGTGAGAACAAACCGGCAGTTTCAGAAATTAGCTGAGTTTCTTCAGGCATTTCGGCTGATTCCAACTAAAAATCGAGAAGGGTGAGAAAGCAAACAATTCTGAATGGTGGATTTTATCAATACAGGTGTTGCTGATAAAAGAAGTAAAAGACGCACAGCACACAAATGATTAATAAAATGACAGTAAATGAGCTGAATACGGTGGCAGGTTCAGTTGGTGCCAAGTTGCAAATAATTGACATTATAAGGCAAGGTATGATAGAGTGATACAAGTCTGATAAAGCTGTTTTCAATTATAAACCATTTTTCCCCATGCACCCGATGGTATTACGCGCACATAAAGCGTCATTGTTATCACTGTTCATTTCTAAACCTGACCAACTAAACCAATATCCATTGCCCCAAAAAAATTTAAAAGTGGTTGAAAAAACGAGGGTTCATTATAGTGACTTCCAAGTATTTGCCAAAATTAGGTAGTATTCAAGAAAAAGTAAAGAAAAACTGCCAAGTAATAACTAAGTCAAAGCTCCACCATATAAACGAAAAAAAAA